ACTATCCCAATTCCAAGCTCCCTACAAAAACCCCAATTCTTCGTACACTTCCGAGTCTTTCAAGATATTATTGAATTGTTAGAAGCTTTGGTTTGAACACTTTAGGCGTCTACAAAGTTTCTAAACAACAGTTCATCTGTTTAGACTCTCTGCCTTAAAATGACTTGATATTAGGCTGAATGTTTAAAGACTAGAGATGGAACTTATAATTTAAGCGATGTGTTATTATCTGGTTTCTTTCTAGATCCTCTCTTACCTACAAAGTGGAATTATGTCATCTTCGATGTCACGACTCCACAACGAATACTCCATTTGAACGACAGTGATCGGATGAACAGCATGGGCTCTCCTGATTGTGTTTCCACTTGCTTCAGACAACCCGATGTACTTTATCTTCCCCTCTTCCACCAGCTTCTTTAGCTCTCCCATCTTCACATCAACTCACCAAAGATTCAAAAAGTAAACTCGAAATAGTCATCAATGGAAGAATGAAACATCAAGTTTTGTGACTATGAAGTTTTGTTTACTCTGCTCCTAAAGACGACTTACAGTTTCTTCTATTGGCACAGATATGTCGACACGATGCTGATAGTAGAGGTCGATATAATCAACTTGAAGGCGCTTGAGACTCGCTTCACAGCAGTTCCTTACATATTCAGGTGTCCCTTTAACTGCAATTTCAAATCCTCCTAATGGTACAATCCCAAACTTTGTAGCCAACTGAATCTTTTCTCTAGGAAGCTGTTTCAAAGCCTGCAAATTTAAACAACTTTCAGTCAATCAAATCAAACTCTATAACTGGTCAAAGTTTTTGTTGTTAATTATTCAAAATACACCACCTTTCCAATCATGATTTCATTGTCATGATCAGCACCATACAGATCAGAAGAATCAAAAAAAGTTATTCCTTTGATGAAAGCTTGTTTGATTATGTTGCATCCTTCTTCATGAGAGAGGGGAGCGCTGAGATAGCCTGAAAGTCCTGCACATCCGAAACCCAACCTTGAAACCTGCAAATTAAAGTTAAGTTTTTCACTATCATACCATGTTTTTTTTCCTTCTTTTTTTGAAGTTGTTCCCATTTCTTGATAGTGATCATAATCTTACCTCTAATCCCTGGCTACCCAGTTTCACTCTGGGGATTTGGATCAGGTTTTGGTGCTTTCCTTCCATTTTGAAGTGACCAGGGAGCTTATACGTGACCGATACTGCAATTCCTTGTGGACAAAGAACCAAGGGGAGTTTAGCAATTCATGGTGAATTTTGTTGTTTATGACAAGAAATATGCCATGAAAGTAAATAGTTTGGACAAAACTGATAGAGACATTACACCCACCTCATCTGTAAGAGTTTCATAAGTCTATTCTTTCACTTTATGGTCATAATTTTTTACCAAAACCACTATGATCCAAGATCATCAATTAATGTATGTGCCTAAAGCCAATTGGTGGGAAATGTCGATGTTACTGATAGTCAAGTCAATAGTTTGAAATTGTACGTAGTTAGGAGAACGTGATCAAGTGTTTAGAAGGGTAAAGAATTTGAATCTGCGGTAAAACAAGTGTCTCGAAATTATAAGAACTTTGAGATTTGTGTCTATTTTGTCTCTACATTTCAAGAGTGATGAACATGCCTTCAAACTTTCGACTTTGTGTCGAACATATTTTTGAAATTTTATGTCTAGTAAATCCATAAATTTTAAGAAATTGAAAATTTTGAGACTAAATTTGTAATCTTGAAAGTTCGAAACTAAATATAAACCTTAAAGTTCGAGACTAAATACAAATCCTTTACTCAAACTTGGACTTGTTTTATTCATGTATTCCTTATTCACTCGAACATCTAATTATTATTAGTCACCAATATAAATATGAATCTTATACTATGTGACAATTTTTCTTTAAGTAAGAGATGGACCATCACTCGAGCTAGTCCTACACCAAACAAAAAGGTTAAATGGTAAGTCCCTCCTCGCCCGGAGAGACTCCATGACAAGGAGATTCCGTCTGGGATGATTTAGTCAGGACAAACCTAAGCGATCTACGTAAATAGGGGTCGAGATCGACGTTTTAGTGATCAATCCATTTGTAAAGTTGGGTGTAGCCAGTCAACTTCATGGTTTCCATTTCACACTCTCTCAACTCATTCCACAAAATTTCCACCACTACTTTTCCTTTCCCAAAAACTCAAACTTGAGAGAGAGAGAGAGAGAGAGAAGAACTTAGGGAGGGCAATGGCGCAGAAGGAATTATATGGACCACTGGAAACCCCCACTTGGACTCCAACAGCTTATTCATGGTTCTAAATGGGCCCAAAAGTTTTAAATACTAAAACAACCCCTTTAGGGTTCTTATGGAAAAAAAAAACCATTTTTTAACTTAAAAATTCAGTTTTTTTCTCTTTCTCCTCAACACCCTACACAAAAAAGACTAGAAACCCTTCCTAATTACCCTTCTTGCTCCAAACAGCAGTAATGGCAGATGCCCTTCTCATGTATATATATATATATGTGTGTGTATATATATAATAAGAACATGCTATAAGATGGGGTGGTAGATATAGGACCACCTGTGGAATTTTTGGTCCCAGCAAATTGTTTACTCTTTGTGGGAAAGATCCTTACTGGTTTCCTGTTCAAGGTTTGGATATTGGAAGCCTTACTTGAATCAGTATGCATTGAAGCTATCATCACTTACTATCAGCATTTATATATATGTAAGAGACCCAAAAAGAAACCTTTATGTGAATATGTAACACTTGTAGTGGACCCTCAGTTTATGCCTTCTAACCTTCTCTTTTGTTTGAATACAATCCCTCCCCCCACCTGTTCTTGTTTCGATTTGAACCCAATGGAAGGTTAGAGGTTTGAATTCGGTCGGAGAAAAATAGAGATCATAAGCTATATTTGAGTTCGTGATTTTTGAAACTCTGTTGTCAATGAATATAACTCCGTAGTTAACGGGTTGCTACCCCTCCTACAGGGTTAGGTTCCAACTCACATACTCGTATCTGTAACAGCCAAATTCACTACTAGTAGATATTGTCGATTTTGGATTTTTCCTTTTTGGCTTCCCCTCAAAGTTTTTAAAACACATCTACTAGAGAGAGGTTTCCACACCCTTATAAGGAATGCTTCGTTTCTCTCTCCTACCAAACGGTGTGCCAATGAGGACGTTGGACCCCTAAAGGGAGGTGGATTGTGAAATCCCACATCGGTACCAGAGGGAAATAGAGCATTCCTTATAAGGTGTGGAAACCTCTCCCCGCGTTTTAAAAACCTTATGTGAAAACCCAGAAAGAAAAGTCTAAAAAGAACAGATAAGTATTTGCTATCGGTGAGTTTGAGTTGTTACATAACTATATGCTAGAGAGATAGCAACGACCATCTGCCAAATTCATTAGGGTAAGATGTCACGTATGGGTAAATCCAACTCGAAAAGAGTTACGAAATCTCAATATGAGCATAACTCAATGTCAAGAGAGAGTGACCGCTCGAGAGTTCCTTTTAGGTTTTCGCTATTTGCTTTTTTTTTTTTGTATAAAGAAAATGGGTAGGAAGCCAAGTTAAAGAGAATTATTATCACCAAGAAAGCCTAAAAGAGTGAAAATCCTAATGAAGATTCAATAAAATGATTGCTCCAACTACAATTTAAAGCCTTATTTTAATTGATAAACCCTAAGTCGTTTTCCCATTGTCTATATCAGAGTCCCCAATAAGTTGTGTTAATGCAGCTGGCAGTAGTCAGAAGGCGATGGCAAGTATGTGGCAAAATAGCAAAGCTGTAAAGAATACCCTTTTTCCTTCCTTAAACAACAAAAGATGCTTATATTCACAATCTCCACTCAAATTCCCCATTCAGAAACATGGAATCTAATCAACAAAACATACTTTATTTCACCTAAAACTTCATGCCTACATTCATCACCACATATTTCCCCCCTCTCAAACTTTCTTGGGTTTATAAAAACTGAACTTTTACCCCCCTAAACCCCCTCCGAGTAGAGATCGAACCATCGACCTTAGCACTGAATACCTCTTCTGTAGGATAGGAGACCAAACTATCGACTTTCAACATTGAGCACCTCTTTTGTAGGGTAAGAGACCGAATCATCGACCTTAGCACCGAGCATCTTGTTTATACAGGGTAGGAGACTGAACCAATGACCTTAGCACTGAGCACCTCGTTTATACAGGGTAGGAGACTGAATCATCGACCTTAGCACTGACCACCTCTTTTAAAATACAGGGTAGGAGACTGAACCATCGACCCTAGCACTGAGCACCTCGTTTATATAGGGTAGGAGACTGAATCTTCGACCTTAGCACCGAGCACCTCGTTTATACAGGGTAGGAGACTGAACCAACGATCTCAACACTGAGCACCTCGTTTATACAGGGTAGGAGACTGAATCATCGACCTTAGAACTAAGCACCTCGTTTATACAGGGTAGGAGACTGAACCAACGACCTCAACACTGAGCACCTCGTTTATACAGGGTAGGAGGCTGAATCATCGATCTTAGCACTGAGCACCTCGTTTATACAGGGTAGGAGACTAAACCAACGACTTTAGCACCGAACATCTCTTTTGCACGGTTAGAGAGTGAACCATCGAGTTTAGCACTGAGTTGTGTTCGAATTGAGTTGTTTATTGTATATAAAAGTAAAGATAAAAGGGCATGTTGTTAAAATGGGGTGTGTTTAATTATAATATAAAACTCAATCCCCTAGGGTTCCAAACCCAAAAAGTAATGTGTTATGAATGGGTTGTTTATACATAGGAAGGGCTTTGTTAACCTATCTGCAAACTGCATTAGGTGTTGTAGTCCTGGCGTGACAATATTCAATTTCAATTACCTTTTCTTGGACCACTTATATCACTCTCTCATTCTTTTGTTTTTGCTTTTGTTTTTATTCATTTACATAAATTAACTCTAAAATTTTAATGAAAACCCTAAAAATTAAATATAAAAATAAAAATAAAAGAAACAAATTTGTGTGTATATATAATCTCTCATCCCTTCGTCTTCCTTCTATCCTCCTCCATCAACAAAAAAGCTGCAAACTTTGGCTCTCTTTTTGCCCTAGTCTTTGTCGTGCGCTTACAACAGTTCAAGCTGCCAGCATGATCTAACCTTAATCTCTCCTAATTTTCGATTCTCCTGAGGTTTAAGATTAGATCATATGGCAGTTTCACCTGTTGCTGGCTCCACGAAGAATTCAGCCCTAAATTCAAATTTCTTGACCATATCAGCCGCTTTCTATCCATAATCCTTAAAAAAGGTACGAAATTTATGTTCTTTGTCCCTATTCCTCATCTGGGTTTGTTGAATTTTGTTCTGGGTCGCTCTCTTTTTGTGAATTTCTTTAGGTTTTGATGAATTTATGGGGATTTCTTGAGGATTTTGATGATTTTAAACAAGAAAAACAAGCAGATCTCTGATTTGTGAGGAATTGGAGTTGGTTTTGTTGGGGGATTTTCGAGAGAGATTCAGAGTGATTAGGGCATTACATTGAGGATGAGAGAGAAAAAGAGGATAAATTTGTAAACATGTGATCTATGTTTCTTCGTACTTGGTCGTGTTTTCTGGATTACCAGTGTGTCTTATCTAACACCAAACGATGCAGAGAAGTGAATATGATAACGATATTTCAGAACTAAAATTTCGTCATTTCTAGACATTTTCATTTTTCTTGTCATTCCATGGTTAATTTTGTTTCTTATGCTTTTAGTGTCGCAGGCAACATTTTTTTTGGGTCGATTGCAAGGCTAGATCTTCGGTTTGTGTGTCGGGTGGGACAATAAGGTAATTGTCTCTTTGATTCGTCCGAGTTATAAAAAGTTTGAATGTAAAACTTTTCTTTTCATCGAAAGATTTAAGATCTCTCCGTTTATGTGTTCATATTTTATAATGTCGATCAAAAAGCTTGAATGACTAAAAAAGAATAGTCGAGTGGTTTATGATCGATGGGCTTTCCTCATTGCTTATAGTGAGTTCATTTCTTGTAAAAATTTGTTTTTTTTCATAAGCCCATTCCATCCAAGAACGTTTATATCTTATCTTCGTGTTTATATCTTATCTTTGTTAGAACCCGATAAGATTAGAGTTTAGAGTTTGAAAAATTTGACCTCTAATTTAGAATTTTTAAGGTTGTGTATTTAATCATGGAACTTTGTTTACAATAAATCACTAAATTTTGGTTTTTTTTTTTTTTTTTTTTGATAAATGGGAGGATTCTTCAAAGTGACGGTTTAGTTTAGTTTTCGAATCTTAGATGTTTAGTTATAATAAGATTCTGAACTCTAGAAACTTTTAACTTTATTGTGTCTAATCAATTTACTAAAGTCGAAGACTTATCCAATAAAAATTAGTTTAAGAATTTCAAAGTTAAGAACCTATTTAGCATAATTATGAAAGCTCCGTGACTGACCAAACGTAATTTAACCGAAACTTTACGAGAACCTTTTTTTGAAGTACATAACAACTAAGCGTAAACGAACTTACAACATAGAAGGTACAAATCAAACAACCATGATGAAGGAAATTCATTAAAGGATGATCCCAAAAACGCGTAACTTTGATTTTTTTTTAGTTGAAGAAGGGATACATGAGAGCGATCCATTATATCAACAATATATACTTTCCTGTTTGGTGGCTCAATCACGGGAACTCCATCACGTTTTGCTTGGAATAATTGGGAGAGGGGGAAGAGAGAGAGACAAATATGAAGGAGGGTTATTAATAATGGGCAGTGATATCTAATGCTATCCCTTCCAAGTTGCCATCAAAGTTGTTGGAAAATGAACCATTGCGAGTCTCTGTCTGATGTCGCAGAAAAGTGGGTTCCTCTGTGTGGCCAAAGGGTGGATCATGGGGACCTTCAATCTCCATTTTTGACTGCATTTATGCCTACATTTCTACTTTTTCCTTCATACCCACATCACAAAAACCATACTTTTTTGAGCAAAGTACGTTTCTTATACATTCCAAGTCCTTCTTTGGGAGGAAACAAATAGAATGGGTTCACACCTCAACGATTGGCAACTAAACACGAGGGATGCACTTGTTACAGAACTTAACTCAACAACTTACGAGCTAACGACATTCATGCACTACTGAGTTCCTGAAAGTACCCCTCTTTCAAAAGAATTTGCAGCATGTCATGCCTCGAATAAGGTTCTTGGATTTGCATCGAATTAAGCCACATGCTCCACCACTTGGGCAAGCCCACGTACTCCCCAGATGGGATTAGTAGAAAAACGATTTGTTTTGATAAAATTTGAATATGATTGAACTAATAATCACAATTTTGTAAAGTTAACCGAAAAAAATATCAACATACGGAGTCATTGCATGTTTAGAATATTTATTTAAGGAGAAAAATGAAGGGACAAATTTAATGATAAGGGGTGGTTCGCCAAATTGTTTGATTACCCTTTGACTTCATTTCTTTGCTATTTTAAAATGAATCCAAACTTTAAAAAAAAATTAATTAATAAATAATGAAATGTAATATTGGTGTTTGATAATATTTAATTATTTAGTTTTTAAGAATATTTTTAAAACCTATATTAAAATTTAAAATGTAAAAGGTAAAAAAAGGAAAACAATTATTTGGTTTTTTTTTAGAAATGTATTTATTTTCTCACAATTTTTTATAATAATTGTTGAAATAGTCAAATTCCAAAAACAAATAATATATATAAAAAGGAAGATATTTTGTTTTTAAAAAAATAAAAAGAAATAGAAATTAGTAATTTAGTATTTAATCAAACCCCAATGAGATTACAGTGGTAATCCTGTATTACGTGATTCCTAAATATTAATTATATAATTAAATTTAAAATATAAAAAGGCCACAACTTTTGATAGCTGTCAGCTTTACCTGTTATTGTCCTTTTCCATTTTCTTTTAATAAATATTTTTAATTGCTTTATATAATAAATTAATTTATATATACCACTCTTTAATTACTTCAAAAAAAAAAAAAAAAAAATCTAAAACTAATTTAAATAAATTATCTAAATTTCTTTATTTTACTTCCTATAATTTGTAAAAATTAATTTTTTTAAATCGATGATTATAAGGGATGGGTTGAATGAAGAAAAAATGATTATATTGTCACGAACACGAGAATAATCTATAAAATAATTATTTTTATTTTCTTCATTTTTTTAAAAATATTTTAAAAATCAGATAAAAAACTAACAAGAGTTTTAAATTCTTTCAATTTGTTTAAAAAAAACAAAATTGTATAAATTCTTTTATAGATTTTTTAAAACATTTTTTTTTATAAAATAGAGGTATATTGAATAATGATATGAATAAAAATTAAATTAGAGTTGATCCAAGTCGAGATTAGACCGATAAAAGTTTTTTTTTTTAATTAATTTTAATGTAATGACTTTTTAAAAGGCAAATAATGCAATTATTTTAAACTTATTATGGCTGCCCAAAAGTTGAGCTTAATAGAAAGCTGTGAAAATTTAAAATCTAACAAAGTCTTCATCCATTAGCCTTAATCAAACTCCACTAATCGTAATTAATTAATTTAATTTTTTCTAATTATTTTCTTTTTCTTTTTTTACCATATTCTTCCGAATAGATCTTGTAATCCCACGAAAATATGTTTTTTTTTTAAATCAACAAATTAAATTTACTTCCCATAATCAAATGGGTCTCGAGAAATTAAAAATTTATTAGTGTAGCGTTTTTTTAGAGTTGAACATCCAAGGATGTTTCTGAACATAACGTGCAAGATCGTGAGCTGTCGAGTTACATAAATCCTCAAAGGAAATTTATTATTGTTTTTCTCGACTAATAATTAAAAGTTTTAATAATTTAATGATTAAAATGATTATATAGTCAGGAACATATAATATAAAATAATATTATTACATTACTATTGAATAAAATCCATTTACCATATTTTTTTTCAATTATTGCAAAAAAGAATTTTATTTCTTTTAAAAACTACGGATTATTAAAAAATAATAATAATAATTGAAATATAAAAAAAAAGTACCTTTTAGTTTTGGCGCATAATAAACCGAATTGATCATGCCATTAATTATTAAAACCGCTCACGGAAGAAACAGAGAAGAACAGAACCGAAGCGGGGCCTGAGCTTGGGTCTTCACCTCCAATGGCGTCGATGGCTGCCGCCTTCATCAAACCCTCAAACGCCTTCCCCCACTCTCCAATAACCTTCATCAAAACCACCTCACCGTCGATTAAACTCCCAATTTCTCTCAGAATTAAAAACAACGCTCACCGTCGGATCCGGGTCTCGTGCGGGTTGATCGACCCGGATGGAGGCAAACTTGTCGACCTTATTGTGGACGAATCCATGAGGGCTTTTAAGAATCGGGAGGCTCTGAGTCTGCCCCGAATCAAGCTGTCGCGAATCGATCTGCAATGGGTGCACGTTCTGAGCGAGGGCTGGGCTAGCCCTCTTTCCGGGTTCATGAGAGAATCCGAGTTCCTCCAAACGCTTCATTTCAATTCGCTCCGTCTTCATGATGGATCGGTTGTTAACATGTCGGTGCCCATCGTTTTGGCCATCGACGATGCCGTCAAGACCCGAATCGGCGCCTCCTCTAAGGTTGCGCTCTTCGGCTCCGATGATCGCCTGGTTGCAATTCTCAATGAGTAAGATCACGCCTTTTGTTTTAACCGTTTATTTTTTTTTCTCATTTTATATATATTTTTTTTTAAATAAAGAGTAAATTTTTTTGGGCTTTTAAAAATATGCCTTGTATTTAATTTTTCATATAAAAACATTATATTAAAATTTTATAATTTTGCAATTCGGATGCTACTCATATAGTAAGCTCGTAAATATTTGTTTTAATTAATTGAGTTACATATCGAGAAATTTTATATTTGATCTACACTGGACAGTATTCTCTTTATCGGTGTAGGAATAGAACTGCAGCTAACACGAACCAAGGTCGTATTTTTCTTTTTTACTTGATTAGATAAAAATAGAATTTCTCGATCGATCGATTATACTAAAAAATTGTAATTTTTATAAAAGAGTTCGATTTTTTAAATTTTTTTATAATAATAATTGATAAAAAAGGATGAGTAGATATGGACATTTTAAGACGAGGAGTGTTCGTAGGTTTTTCTTAGTACAACAAGTGGGGTATGAGAATTTGAACTTCCATTTTCGAGAAGATTGAACATTTTTAAACTCAATTTAATTGGTCGGTTGTAATTTTTTTTTCGAGTAGTATTGAGATATACAAGCAACCGAAGGAAGAAAGGATTGCAAGAACATGGGGAACAACAGCTCCAGGTCTTCCTTATGTTGATGAGGCTATTAAGAATGCTGGAAATTGGTTGATAGGAGGTGATCTAGAGGTCATTGAACCAATCAAGTACCACGATGGGCTCGACTCGTTTCGATTATCGCCTGCACAACTTCGCAACGAGTTCATCAGCCGCAATGCCGGTGCAGTGTTCGCTTTCCAGCTTCGCAATCCGGTGCATAACGGTCATGCTCTGCTCATGAACGATACTCGTCGACGCCTTCTTGATATGGGCTACACCAACCCCATCCTTTTGCTTAATCCATTGGGTGGCTACACCAAGGCTGATGATGTTCCTCTGCATTGGAGGATCAAACAACATCAAAAGGTATCACACCCCTCCTTTCATATCATGTTTCCATTTTCCTCAAATACTAACCACACTTCATTAGGTTCTTGAAGATGGTGTGCTTGATCCCGAGACGACCGTTGTCTCCATTTTCCCGTCGCCGATGCACTACGCCGGTCCAACCGAGGTGCAGTGGCACGCAAAGGCAAGGATCAATGCAGGGGCTAACTTTTACATTGTTGGTCGAGATCCTGCTGGTATGGGCCATCCTACTGAGAAGAGGGACCTTTATGATCCTGACCATGGGAAGAAAGTATTGAGCATGGCTCCTGGTTTAGAGCGCCTAAATATCCTTCCTTTCAAGGTATCATATGAACTTGCAACTTTTCTGCCACAATCACTTCATATTTCTACATATCCTTTAGTTCCAACTTCCAATTATAATGCAGGTTGCTGCATATGACAAAACTCAAGGCAAAATGGCCTTTTTTGATCCTTCAAGACCTCAGGATTTCCTCTTCATATCAGGCACCAAGGTACTTCTTCATACCAATCTTCGCAAGTCGAGAGAATCGATGTCGTTTCATAGCTTTTCCAACAGGAAATTACTGTATTTTCTCTTTAATACTAAAAAAAAAAGAGGGGTGTGAGATCCTACATTGGTTAGAGAGAAGAACGAAGTATTTCTTATAAGGGTGTAGAAACCACTCCCTAGTAGTCGCGTTTTAAAACCTTGAGGGGAAGCCCAAAAATGACAATATCTGCTAGCGGTAGGCTTGGGCTGTTACAAATGACATCAGAGCTAGGCACCAAACGGTGTGCCAGCAAGGATGCTGGCTCCCAAGGGTGGAGAAGAGAAAGAAACATTCCTTATAAGGGTGTGGAAATTTTTCCCTAGCAGATGCGTTTTAAAATTTTGAGGGGAAACCCAGAAGGAAAAGGAAAGCCCAAAGAGGATAATATCTGCTAGCAGTGGGCTTGGGCTGTTACAAATGGTATTAGAGCTAGGCATCGAGCGTTGTGCCAGTGAGGGCGTTGGGCTCCCAAGAGGGTAGATTGTGAGATCCCACATCGGTTGGAGAGAAGAACGAAGTATTCCTTATAAGGGTGTGGAAACCTCTTCCTAGCAAACACGTTTTAAAACCTTGAGGGAAAGCCTAGAAGAGAAAACCCAAAGATGACAATAAAGATGACAGTATCTACTAAAGGTGAGCTTGGAATGTTACAAGGGTCGAACAAAAATATTTTTCGTTCCTTACTAGAATCTAGGCTTCCTAGAAGGAACAAACTGAAACATTCTGAGTCGAGGTCTCTTCTTGGTATTTGTTAGATGCGAACTCTTGCAAGGAATAAGGAGAACCCTCCAGATGGGTTTATGTGTCCCGGTGGCTGGAGCGTATTGGTCGAATACTACGAAAGCTTAGTTCCAGCAAACAATGGGAGTATCCCCAAACCTGAAGCTGTAGCAGCTTAAATCCTGTAGATCATAGTACATCACAGGATTTCAGCACAACACTTTATGCTCCTGTTTGTGATATAAACTTGACATTCTGTTAGATGTCTTGAGCTGAATAAAGTCATTTGAGGCAGTGGCCTAACCCTGTAACATATATGCTCATGGGCATGTAAAATTTAAGTGTGATGCATTTCGATTTTCATTTTTATGTAATATAAGTGTGATTCTAGCATAGCATGGTAAGTTTGAATTTCTCTTTCTGGACGGGTTGTCTCTTGAAAATTGTGAGATCCTACTGTTAAAGTCTTATAACAGTGTGGAAACCTTTTCCTAAAACATTCATTTTAAAACCGTGAGGTTGGGGGTCAAAGCGAACAATATCTGCTAGCGGTGGGCTTGAGTTGTTACAAACGATATCAGAGCCAGTCATCGAGGTAGTGTGTCAGTGAGGACGTTGGGCTCCAAGAGGGGTGGATTATGAGATCCCACATTAGTTGGAGAGGGGAACTAAGCACATTCCTAACAAGAACGTGGAAACCTCTCCCTAGAACACGTGTTTTAAGATTGTGAGGCCAAAGGTGCGGTAAGCAAATGAGTTGATTAGAAGGCTTTAATCTAGAGGATGGGACCAAAAATTCTCTTATTGAACTCAGCAGCTTTATAGGCTAACTTTTTCATGGAAATATTTGTTTTTGTGTATTAGCCTTCAGGCATTGACTTCCGTGTTCATATTGAAGCAGCAGGAACGGGAGAATAAAGCTATAATAGTTCAAGCCCACCGCTAGCAAATATTGTCGGCTTTAGTTCATTACGTGTAGGAAAAGGTTTCTACACCCTTATAAGGCATTTTTCGTTCCCCTCTCTAACCGATGTGAGATTTCACAATCCACTCCTTTGAGGGCCAGCGTCCTTACTAGCACACCACCTGATGTCAGGCTCTAATACCATTTGTAAGAGTTCAAGCCTACCACCAATAAATATTGTCAACTTTAGCCCGTTATATCTCGTCGTCAGCCTCAAAATTTTAAAAACGTATTTGCTAAGGATAGGTTTTCACACCCTTAATGTCTCGTTCCGCTCTCCAACCAACGTGGAATCTCAAACAAACCGAATTTCAACATTGCCTCGTCGTAACAAACCTCAAATCAGAGCTGCTAGTCTTCAGAACTTAGCATCATATCCTAAGCATCATAGTCTGTGAAAGAAACATGTACTTTTGCCTTTACAAAGAAAACAGGTAACTACCAAGAAAGTGAAATGAAGTTGATAGATTTGGTCAAGCTTTCTAGTTTTGTTTGGAAGAATGATTACACACCAACCACACACACAACCCGCTCTCGAGCTCGAGTAGCAAAAAGACACGTATTAACATCGACATCGAAGAAATTTCTAAAAATACCTCAAAATTCTCATCATCCTGTCTTCTAAATTCAACCAAGAATGCTCAGCTAATTCAGCACATCATATAATATAAGCTCTTTTTGCTTTCTTTAGCTTCCAAACCATACATCAATATCATTTCTTTGTATTTAAACCATAAACTCCTATAGCTTCCAAATTGACATGATCTCAAATACTAATATACAAATCAAACAAGGGTTACCTTTCTTTCTTTGGTTATCATATTATCATTAGAAAAAGCCTCGCTTTGATAGGATTTCTGAGGCATGTTCAGTCATGATCTTGACGAACTCAGGGTAATCGACTTGGCCATCACCATTCAAATCAGCCTCTCCGATAATCTCAAGAACTTCCTTATCTGTTAACTTCTCCCCCAGATTCAGCATCAGATGAACATGCCTCAACTGCACATGAAAACCAATTTATGATGATATAAATAGCATTCCTTGATGGGTTTCCTGAAAAATTGGAGAAGATTTTGTGTTTGTTTACCTCATTTGCTGATATATACCCATCTTGATTTTTATCAAACACCTTGAAGGCATCTTTGAGCTTCTGCTCTGTTTCTTCCTGTAAAACAGGGCAGAGAAAATGGGCTCTCAAATTTATAACAAAGAACTCAAAATCAAGGGGCATGAGATGAAATGAATGGAAATGGTGGACCTTCATGATGTTGGACATCAATATCTGAAACTCCCAGAACTCGATGGTTCCATTGCCATCGGCATCGACTTCTCTGATCATGTCCTTCAGCTCTTCCTCCGTGGGATTTTGACCCAATCTTTTGATCTCTGTTCTAAGTTCATCGAGTGTGATGCAACCTGCTCGTTCAATTCCCAACATAAAAAGACGTAAACTGAACTGTTCAAACAGAATTCAATCATGATGTTACAGAAAATGAAAGAAGAAGATGACCCACCATCTCTGTTTTTATCAAACAAAAGAAAAGCTTCTCTAAGCTCATCCATTTGTTCTTTAGTTAAAGCTTCCCCCATCTCCATGGAAACCTTAGAAAGGGAACTAACACAACTCCTCCAGAGGATAGAGAGACAGAGAGAGAGACAGAGAGGAGAGTCCTCATGGGTTATATGAGTATATATAAAGTCACGGCCAATCAAAAGGTAATAGATTCAAATTTTTATTAAATTTTGATAGCGAATAAAAAAATATTATAACATCCATATATTCCATGAGTATGAGAATGATACCCATGTGTTGGGAGGTTATAGTTTGAAGTAGATTTTAATATTAATTTTTAGGAGAATTTAAATTATGAAAATAATATAATGTAAGCTAAATTTCACTCGGGTCAAAGCTTTGGGCAATTTCGTAGAAGTTCAAGTTTAGAAGAAAAAAATTGACATTCAACTTTTGTGGAGTTTCATGAAAAATCTTGATCACGAAGATTCGCATTATTTTATTTCCATTTTCTTTTTTCAAGAGAATTTATTTGATTATTGGTAGAAACAAATTATAAAGAAAAACTCGATTTTTATTTATTTCAAACGTTGTATTTGGATCGTTATTTAACGGAACTTACATAGCAATATACCAAGTTATATATTTTTAATGTATAAATTTAATTGTATTCTCATCTTTAATTGTATAAATTTTGAATAATTAAATTTAAAATTTATTGAACGGTAAAATGAAATTAAATTTAAATTACAAAAACCAAATTTATAATTTAATGGAAAAAATGGACCACTTAAATTTGAGTAAATATAGGTTGAAATAGAATTAAGTTATTTTTAATTATGCTTGCACGCATGGATGAAGGCACGTTTTTTTTCCAATTATGTATGCATACATGCATGTATGGATGCATGCATGTTTGTAAGTTTTCTTTGAAGTATGCATGGACGCATGGGTGTAGGCATGCTCGAACATGTATGTATGCTTGCTTGTATGGATGCATCAACGAATATTGTTCCCTAGTGCAATAAAATAAAATCGATAATCATGACATAGAAGTTGGGGGGCCAACAAGTTTGAAAATTGAAGATAAGACAAAATGTACTATAAAATCACGCGGTTTTCACTCTAGGATTTTCTATGGTTCGTATTTTTTTTTGTTCGATCCATAGAAGTTTATTTAAATCTAAATTTAAATCGTTAACTTTAGGACAGATAAAAAAAAAAGAAAAAAAAAGGTTACCATGTGCTTCATAATGACTATTTCCTTTTGGTAAGTCAAGGACCTATACAGGTTAATATTGGACCTTAAATCCATCTCCTAGATTTTGTCGTTCCTCCTAAGATTTCAAAGGAATGAACGAATGAAATATATTTATCGTTAAAAAAAGAAATAAAAGAAAAAAGAGGGAGGAGGGAAAGTTCGACTAGAAATCGAATAATCTCAAACAAGTATATGTAAACAAGTATATGTGAGTAGTTGGGTCATCTTTATGACACTCCTATATTTGGTTGTCAAGGACACTAGTTGGACATTAAGTTTTAGGTCGCGATAAACTTATCTACAAATTATTCACTCCAAGCCCTTCAATGCTTTACTAACCTGTAATATTGACCTAAGATGACCACGGGGTCAATCCATGAATTTGTACCGTTCACATTCTTAATAACCAAAATGTAGTCGATTCATAAATTTGTATGTTCACATTCTTAATAACAAAAACAAAAAAAAAAAAAAAAAAGAAAAGAAAAGTAAACTAATCACTTCCCAATTCTGCTATAAAAAAAATACAAAGGCTTAGCTTTGGAACTTAGGAAGAAAGTTTCAAGGTTGAAGCTGTGGATGAGAGCTCCCACCAGCATAAGTAATTATAGCATCAACCTGAATGGTCCTAGTCATACAGGGCGTCCAAACAAACTTTGATTTTAATATCATAATAAAGTTTGAGGTTCATGTGTAATTTCAGTTGTCATCACTCCATTGCCCATACAATTTCGTGCACAAATAGCACTGTCCTAGATGAAAATACGGAAGAAAATGACGTTGTTTCTTGCTTCATTGGGGAGGGAAGTAAGTAGAGATTTGATAATGGATTTATAAGTAAGGAATACATCTCTATTGGTACGAGATTTTTTGGGAAAATCAAAAGTAAATCCATGAAAACTTATGCTTAAAGTGAACAATATCATACCATTGTGGAGAGTCGTGGTTCCTAACATGGTATCAGAGCTATGTCTTTAAATTAGCTATATCAATAGAATCCTCAAATGTCAATAAAGAAGTTGAGAGTCTCGAAGGTATAGTCAAAAGTGACTCAAGTGTCAAACAAATGGTGTACTTTGTTTGAGAGCTCTAGATAAGGAGTCGAGCCTCAATTAAGGGGAGACTATTCAAGGGCTCCATAAGTCTCAAGGGAGGCTTTATTATGGTGTACTTTGTTCGAAGGGAGGACTATTGAGGATTGTTCAGAGAGGAGTCTCACATCGGCTAAATAAGAGGTTGATCATGGATTTACAAGTAAGGAATACATCTTCATTTATACGAGATCTTTTGAGGACAATATCATACCATTATCAAGAGTTGCGATTCCTAACCTTGCAGCCATTCAAAATCATCTCGATCATCTCAGGAAAGAAAGAAGTAAGCTAATTTATTAACTTAAAAGCTTTTATTTTATGTACAATGCCAGAAAAACGGTATCCACTCCGATAAAGCATTCAATTTTCTTCAAAATGAGCTATAATACTGCAAGTTTTTATATTCACTTAGCAGTAGGAAAAGAAGACTTACAAAGACGTCTCAGATGGCTTCTGAACTTCCCGGAGCTGGACTGAATTGTTGAAGCAGTGATAAAAGCCGAAATGTGGGAATCTCTCATACCAGGTTTCCTGCTGAACATGTGTGTCCCAATGCTCCCCACTGCTGCTCTTGCCATACTTGTGAACCCAGCCTGAACCACTGTGGCCCTCGCCCCACGTACGGTTCCACCGTTCTCCATGTTTACCTTCCCACCATGTTTCCCCCTGTTTGACGCCATGACCATTCGAATCGAAGTTTTCGTCCCATTTGTCGCCCCACTTCGTCCAACCATCACCTTCACATCCTTCAGCCCATTTATCTGTGTACTTGATGCTGCCACCTTGTCCATCATACTTTTCACCCCATCTGCAAGAAGAAAGTTACATGCTAAAGCAAACTCAAATAGACAATTTCTTAAGAAGCGTGTCACCAGATTAAACGTACGAAATCTCGAAGAAGGAATTCAGAGGATTGAGAATGCATCACAAAAGACCAAGTGAAGAGGACAGCAAGAACAACAGGTGATTAGCATCTCCAACATTTGAAAAATTTTGATACCTTTCATGCCAGATATGAGCATGACCAGGATCGACATATGTGTTCGGGTCAATTTTACACCATTTATGAGCATTTTTTTCAACTTGACCAGAGGTATTATAATATTCCCACCATTTCTCTTGCCACTCGGTGCCACTTCCATTTTTCCCCCATTTGTCTGCAGTTTTTTCAAGGTGAACAAGGCCTTGCTCCTGAAAGAAAGTAAGTTCAGTTATGGTCATAATAAGGACTACTTGCTGCCATGATTGAAATTAGGAACCACATGAAGCAATTTCCAGGATCCACATTAGAGATCATTTCCCGACATCGAAACATCAGCGAATCCTTCTCAGGTATCAGAGAGAGAGACACAAAAGAATTTGTTAGATATCAACAGACAGATTGTACATTACACACTCATAAAGGCATTTCCATCTTCTCGCAATATCCAATGAAATGGTTTAACTTCGTTTTCAAATTTGGCAAACTAGCATATGGATTCGAACTAACCATTAAGCACTTTAAGTGAGTGCATAAAACAAAGACTATTGAGACTTTAACTGATTGCATAAAGCAAATATTTTACAAGGATAATGCAACAGAAGCAAGCAAATCATTAACAATTTAAACTGACCTGCTGCATAGATTCTCTCCAATATTCACGCCAAACACTTCCATAGGCATCGCGGCCAGATTTCTCTGAACCAAGTTCCTTATAACCAAACTCATCAGCAGCTTCCCAATACTTGTTCTGCCACTCGGTGGCGAAGTCTGCGCTAACTCCCCTCGTTAGTGTCCACTTGCAAATCACTCCATCCGGTCTCTGCTCAACTCCCATCTCCTTCCACCATCGTGACCCATCTGAATCTATTCCTTTTGTTGATTCTTTATCTATGCTACTAAGCGCCTGAGATGCTTCTGCTGCAAGTACTGAAAACTCCATCCCAACATTTTCATCGTCTTCCAAGGAATGTGTCTCTGTATTGGTTTCCAATGATTCTAACTTTTCAATGTCCATCAATGATTGAAAAGGTGGTAGAAGAGGTTTGACGCTTTCAGGAAGTTCACTCTGAAAAGGAATTGAGAGAAATCCCACCGGAGGCTCTTTCTCCTTAACAAAATTGGATAGCATTGGATATACCTGTGATTTTTCAATTGGTCGCAACTCACTGAAAGCATTACCATTCCCATCATTATCTGGAGGGGGTGTCCAAGACCAGAAATCTGGACCAGGGGTCGCAGTTGGTGAAGTTTCAGACTTGGGTAGCAGGGTGTTCTCGCTTTGAAATTCAGATGATGCTAGATGAATCAAAAACAGTATAGAAAAATAAAGAGTTAGTAAGAGAGCCTAAACAACCACATAAGAAGTTAACAAGTCTAAATACATGAACCATTAAATTGTCTCCTTCAAATTACTGAACCACAATAACACTAGTTCTCCATTCTTTTCTAGGCGTGCTAGTTGTCATGGTCATGTTCGTCCAAGGCTTGTTTCTCACGCCATGCCAAACCCTTTATTGGATTTCATGTTGTATTGTCTTAATATTGTATTTTCTGTTTGTATGACTATTCGGTAAAATCATGTCTAGGCCTATCAGACCTAAATCGCCCCAAAATATACTATAGGGGGATGTGATCAGTCGTTAACTCCTCCCACCTAGATTTTGTATGACCGTTCGGCGAAAACACGTCTAGGCCTGCCAGACTTGAATCACCTCAAAATGTACTATTGGAGAATGTGACTAATTGTCAATTCTTCCCGCCCGAGTTATATGATATTTAAGTTGTGGTATTTCTTG